CGGATATAAGTATGTACTATCCGTGGCCAACGTGCCTCGCCCGGCATAACCACCTTTCACCCGCGTGTATGTATTACACCGTAGATACATACGAGCGGAGGTCCTACCACGGATCGCGATTCGCGCCCGAGATAAGGGGACGAAGCAGAAATGTATCTGCATTCACGGAGGAAATTCAAGCAGCAACGTGACAAAATTTGAAACGGAAAATCTGACACTACAGAAATTGAATATGCTCATCGCGCGGAAAATATAACGAGAGATAACAATTTGTCGAAATCTTGACGATAATGACTTTCTTGACGAAAAATGAAAATCTCGGATAAGATTTCTATCATAATAAAATCAATCTGTAATTTATTTTGTGTGGTAAATTTATTTTAATATATATATTTATTTCCAATATATATATATAAAATATCTCAGAGAGAAAGAGAGAGAGAGAGAGAGAGCGAATCGAATCTATCTATAAAGTATTTCTCAATCAATTTAATATTATTTTTCTAAAAGAAATTGATGTTTGAATATTTGATACTTGTAGATATTAACAGATTGGTTTACAGCGCAAATAAGAACCATCTTTTAGTCGGGCGCTTTAGTGAAACCCGGCGACTTTTTCTTGTATGCAAATTATCGTTTTTACGAAATGAATAAAACATAAAAGAGCAAGGGACCACTTCTTTGTCTAATTAAAGGGCGGGGCCACTCCGGTATGATGAGAGAGCACACAATTGAGAGCACACAATTGAGAGCACGATTTTTATTATAATTAATACGATTTAATCACGACGATGTAAACGTCATTTGCAAGAATGATTTTCATATAAAGCCGAAAAGGTTTAAATTGGTTAGCATAAGTGTTAGTGTTGTAAGTACGATCGATACTTGTGCTTACAGGAACCGCGGTCGATCGACTTTCAAGAGGTTTGGTGCACGCGATACTGGTCCGACCAGATCGTAAGAAGATTGAATGAAGAGGACCGCGAAGAAGGAGGACCATGTAGAGGATAGAAAAACGTCCAAGATCGAGTCAAGACCCTTTTATACACACCGAACAATGTCCATTCACCGTGCAAGACATACTGTGCCAAATAACTGCGTAATAAAACTGAAATAAAACGATCAAATTGCACTGGATCTTTGTCACCTTACATAAAACTTCTGTAATATATATAATATATATGCATATCGAGATTTTACATAATCGGATTAAAACAACCGATTTCACGAGATTTACATTTTTTCTCAAAATATAGATGAAATTTTTATTTATTAATTACAATATCAAATAATGAAAAATAAATCATTTAGCATTCTTTTGGCTTAAAAAAAAAATATATAATATAGTTTAGTTTTTATATATAATATATATTTTATTACGTTTTTTAAATTTTAAAACAATCGCGTTTATACTTTCTGTCATCAATTTCATACACCGTGTCTAACTTTGTTAAAACAATGGTCCATACACTTACCATCTTCTTTAAATTATTTCAATAACGTCTTTCAACGCTTGACGGCATACATAAAGAAAATCTTGCGCATTCAACGCCAGTTCTATCGGCATACTTAATGGATTAAGTGCTGCCAGGAAAGCGTGTCGGAAGATATCAGCCAATTTAAATTCCGCATGAACACTGCATCATCTTAAGTGGGTTACCACGCGACGATCGATATGCCAACATGCGCATATAGTACGATCGATCGCGTTTCGTGTATCTTTTCACCGACCGGTAATGAGTTTGCTGTATGACTGGTCCCGCAATAGTTGTCGGACCGGATCTCGCGACGGCCCAATATGAAATAATGGCGTGAAAAATGATTCTGACGCTCGGATAAACGTGTAAGAGGCTTTCCTCGAACGCTTGTGTAGGATTTTTACGTCAACGTTTTTTCTCGTACACCATAGACCATTGATCACACAAGCTCTCGCGGCGTTTCCGACGTTAATTATATTTTAGTTGGGAGAAAAATTGAGAAATTTTTGGCTTTTGTTACGTTATACAAAACTTCGTAAATCCGATCTTTTAACAAGAATAAATTTATCTTTGCTCGATCTCTGTAATCAATTTTTTTCTTAAAATCCAAACACTAATAATTCCAGAATTGCTCATTTGAATTAAAACAGATTTTATTTTAATAGCGTTTTTAATTCTAAGTTTGATTATTAAAATATTTAATGTTAAAGGTAAAAAAATACAAAAGATGGCTGTTTTTTCGGAAATTGTTTCGAAGAAACAAATTCATTTGAAAAATCTATCTTTAATATTATATCATAGAGAGACCTAGAATACTTTCTGTATGTGATGTAGAACAAGAAAAAACCTAAAATAGATTTCTACACATAATGTTTCTAAATAAACAAATTACATATTCAATAAATCAGTAATCTAAATGTCGCTCGTTATTTTTTCCCGTTCAATAGTGTGAGCGCAGTAGTTTTATTCAGTAAAAGATCCGATCGATTATCGGCGATCGTAGATCGCGCGAAGTTCACGGATGGCAGAAAGGGAGAAAATCAGTGGATCCATATTATGATTAGACTTTAACGAGCAGCGGAGAGAAATCAGGGAAAG